GCGAGGACGCCTCCGCGTCTTCCGGATTACGATAGTAAGAAGTAGAATTTTTTTTTTTTTTTTATATTAAGACTGGATGTGTTAGCATTTTCGTTTTTATTTTTATTATCTAGTTATTATTATATTTTTTTTACTATTGACCAAAATGTAATGCCGGGATTAAGGTATTATGTCGGAGAAAACAAAATTAATATTCTCCTATCAATAATCCCACGTTTTTTTTTTTTTCTTTTCTTTTTTTTATTGTGGCTTTACATTTTCGATTGTTTTATTTGAGACAAAACGACATGAAAATGAAAATCGGTCATTTTACGCCCGAGTTGGATCTTCTTTTGAAATATCTCAGGGACACATTTTGATGCATTTAAAGAATATATAAAAATATCGTGATACATTTACGGATATTTTTTTTTATTCTGTGTCCTCATTAACATCAATTACGACAATATTCCGATCAACCACTTTCCGATCGTTTTGGGTTTTTTTTTTTTTTTAATTCTGACATGTAAATCTGAATATAAGTAAGGTAAGTAAATACTTCCTTTTATTTAAATTCTGCGATACCTTATATTTTTAGATATATAATTATAAAAAAAAAAAACCACTTATACCCGCGCGTGTGTCAATGTAATGTTTTTAAGAATTAACAGAGAATTTCCAAAATTTATTTCTCTAATTAGGTAGGTAAAAAATATTTGTTTTATAATTCACGCGAGAAAATAAAATTGCTTGTCACGTGTTTTAAAACTTCATACATCGACTTGTCAGCAATTGTTGATCTCGCAGGAAAACAAATTACAAATAATAACAATGGCTTTGTCGGATATATAACAAATGCAGTGGGAGAAAAACCGTAAGCCTTTCTCCATAAAATACCATCTTTGTTCCTTGCTGTATCGTCGAAGGTAATTCGTCTTTCCTTTGCTCTTTTCCCTTCTTGTTTGACGAAGTGTTCGTTTTTAAGTAACCCTTCAAAATCGGCACATGGCCCGCATTTACTTACTCATTACGTTCATCACTTTCTATCCCTGAAGTGCTTTCGTTTGTGACGCGTCGTATGTCAATATGTCTAATAATTTGCTTATTTATCTTTTTATCTGAGACTACATATATATAAAGTTTGCTTAGACTGTTGCTATCTATCTATTTATCTATCTGTAGATCTGTTTGTTTCTCAGCCCCCCCTCTCTCTCTCTCTCTCTCTCTCTCTCTCGCCCTCTCAGTTGATATCTATCTATCTTATTCTGTATATCTATGCCTTTCTGTTCATATCTATCTGTCTGTCTCTCCCCTTTTCCCTCGTTCTCTCTCTCTCTCTATCTTTGTCAGTTGATGCTTGTTTATCTATCTATCTATCTATCTATCTATCTATCTATCTATCTATCTATCTGTCAGTTGATATATATCTATCATATTCTCTTCATCTAAGTCATTCTGTTCCTATCTATCTGTCTATCTATCTGCCTACTACCTACCTGTCAGTCTGTCTATCTGCCTCTATCTCTGTCTGTCTGTTTCTGTCTCTCTCTTTCTCTCTGTCTTTCATATGATATCTAACATATTCTGTTTTTCTATCTACGTCAGTTTTTTCATCTATCTATCTATCTCAGTCTCTTCATATCTATCTAGCTATGTATTTATATGTAATCAAATCTTCTTAAACGTAATTGCTTATGTATTATGTGTGATACGTGTGTAGATTGGGCTTCCATATTTTTCTTGGCATTTACTCATGTTTCAACAGAGGCGGGAGATGACACAACGCCTTGTTTAAATTGGGACTTCATGTGTACACGGAGCAGATGATGAAAATTCTCTAAGAACTTTCCCTTGGAGCGCCTCAGGAATTGACTCTCCTACAACTTCCGGTGAAATGGAATAAGCAGTTCCTATCTATCTATCTATCTATCTATCTATCTATCTATCTATCTATCTCAGTCTGTTCATTATCTATCTATCTATCTATCTATCTATCTATCTATCTATCTATCTATCTATCTCTGTTCATTATCTATACATCTATCCCTGTTCATTATCTATCTACCCCAGTCTGTTCATTATCTATCTATCTATCTATCTATCTATCTATCTATCTATCTATCTATCTATCTCAGTCTGTTCATTATTTACCTCAGTCAGTTCATTTTCTCTGTCTGTCTGTCTGTCTGTCTCTCTCTCTCTCTCTCTTTCTCTCTATCTCTCTATCTATCTATCTATCTATCTATCTATCTATCTATCTATCTATCTCATCCTGTTCATTATCTATCTATCTATCTATCTCAATGTGTTCATTTTCGATCCATCCATCTCAGTCTTTTCATTATCTATCTACCTCTGTCTGTTCATTATCTATCTATCTCAGTATGTTCATTATCTATCTATCTATGTCAGTCTCTTCATGATTGATCTACTTACCTCAGTCTGTTCATTATCTATCTATCTATCTATCTATCTATCTCAGTCTATTCATATCTATTTATCTATTCATCCATCTCTATAGAGATTGAGGGCTTACGACCACATCACGTTGAAACATCGCTTTCCGCACCATCATCGAAGTTAAGCAACGTCGAGCCTGGTCAGTACGTAGATAGATGACCGCCCAGAAATTCCAGATGCTGTAAAATTGGATGTGCGATTGGTGTAATGGATAAAAGCTCGGAATTGTTAATCGGAGAGCCGAGTTCTATTTCCAGGTGGGTTCGTTATATTCACTTAGGTGCAAATACCGCTGGTAAAGGGTTAATTAGTAAGACTTGTATTACTAAAACCATTATTATCCCCACCCACAAATAAAGTAAAATAAGATAAAAATGCGTACAAAATATTTCAGCATTAAATAACACATAGATGTTGATATATCGATAAGCAAAAACAAACAACCAAGTATCTCGCTCTCACCCTCTCTAATATAGATAGATAGATAGATAGATGTGTGTATAGATAGATAGATAGATAGATAGATAGATAGATAGATAGATGTGTGTATAGATAGATAGATAGATAGATAGATGTGTGTATAGATAGATAGATAGATAGATAGATAGATAGATGTGTGTATAGATAGATAGATAGATAGATAGATAGATAGATAGATAGATGTGTGCATGCATGTGTATGTGTGTTCCAACGAAACAGAAAAATAGGAAAAAACATTTTTTTTCAAAAATGAGAAAATGATTCCTTTTTTTAATAAGATGATCGAATATAAAAATTATAAACTTTTTATTTTTTTTTATTTTCTCAAAAAAAAAAAAATATACCTTATCTACGGAACAATTCGTGAATTGGATGACATAGTAATTGTGAGTTCAATCCCTGTGTTAAGGCGTACATATTTAAATTCAGTGGTAACAAAGGTGAGTAACAACTGAGAACAAGACGAGATATCCCGAGACGTGGTCAGCTGAACGAGAACAATTTAACCCCGTAGATTAAATAAAGGGTGCAGTTCGAAATTCCCTGAAGGATTGACAGTCACCTGACGAAGGCCAGTGAGTACAACGACCGAAACGTTGTGATAATAAAAACAAACATGAGGATATTAGTACGAATGTAACTAACGAATGTTTTCTCTTCCAAATTTCATGTAAAATAATATTAACTAGGTCAAATTAATATCTCTTTTTTTATAGTAGGCATATGACTGTCAACATTTCCTGTAGAAAAACAAAAATAAAGATTTGAACGTCCGAGATAAATAAAGAGAGATTTATTTTTTTCCTTTTTTGTCTTCTTCTTCATTGGTCGGCCCAAATGAAGACTGTCCGCGGGCTAAATACGAAAAGAGCTCTCACTTTTTATTTAATCAAAACTACATTGTATAGCAAGATAACAAAACAAGCTCTTTTTTTTTTCTTTTTTGTTTTTTTTTTTTGTTTTTTTTGCACACCCAAACAGACGTTATTATAACGGACAATAAATAAGCGTTGCGTTTTATTGCAGTAATTGTGGGTGGAGACGACAAAAAATGTTTTGTACCAAAGAGGTGTGTAAGTTTTTATATTTACTCATCTCTTCACGCAAAAGCCAACGATATACAATAGTTAACGCCTCGGAACGAAAAATTTGCGCGCCGAATTCGAATTCCACTGCATTTCATTACATTCACCTTGGCGTAAAAATACGAATTTGTCTCATCTCCCAGGTTTGGGTTAAGTAGAAGAGCAGACCGTATAAAAATGTATACAAGAAAATTAAAAGTATATAAAAATAAGTAAATAAAAAAATAATACAATAGACTAGGTTTGTTTATTGCGGTTTCTTTTGAGGGGTGTGTTTCAAAAAACTTACTAAAAGAAGACATTTACTAACACGACTTCTTACAAAAATGCTAAAATGAAGCCTGACAGCTAATAAAAAAATGGCTTCCGTAAAATTTGACGTGTAAAGAGAAAGTCTCTCTCCCTGGGTGTGAATTAAATAGTTTTGGTTAACAACCAGTCTACGAGACGGAAAACTCTGAATTCAAACCTAAGTAGAGCTGCTTGGAGACTTCCTGACACACAATGTACCATTTCTCTGTAATCATTTCTTTCGAAAAGTCTGGTTTGTTCTACACAAGCTTTCAGTATTATAATCTACGCTTCTGGACAGTCAAGGGTTCTAAAAAACGGAACTAAAAATCGATAGGAGAGTACACTATATACATGACAAAAATATAGTTTTAAGGTATGCTATATTTATGGGTTAAAGTGCTCAATATCAGGGATAGAGCATATATAAATATAAATGGACATTGAGACCAACATCTAACAGTGACAGGCCTGAAGATTGTGTTTAAGCATAAAACAAACAGTGTTAACCTCAGTATATCTACTTTTATATATTAAACTGGTCGAAAAAAGGTTGTAAGGTAAAAGGAAATAATCCACCGTTAATCACTTCAAAAGCCGGTCTACACTTGAAGAAGATGATGCTTTATATCTAGTAGATGGGAAGGGTATTGTATATTACGAGAATCATTGTTCCTAATTGGACCCATTAAATGCAGCAGTCGTTGAAAAGCGTTCGGAACTGGCCAATCGGAAACGTGCCGTCTTCCATCAGGACAACGCTAGACCACAAGTCTCTTGAAGACTCGGCAGAATTGGTAATGCTTAACTGGGCTGTCCTACTAAACATGATAGTTTTCTTTTTAATACGAGAATTATTGTTCCTAAGTGGATCTTTTAGAAGTATCAATCGTAAAAGCCGTTCTGAATTGGCGAATCGGAAGGACGCCGTTTTCCATCAGTTCAACGCTAGACATCATGTTTCTCTGAAACACGTGAGAAATTGGTAATGCCTAACGGGTCTGTCCCACTACACATGGTATTGTATATTAAGTGAATCCTTTTTCCTAATTTTATCTGTTAAAAGCAGCAATCGGTGAAAAGCGTCCGGAATTGACCAATCGGAACAATTTCGTCTTCCATAAGGACAAATCTAGAACTCACGTCTCTCTGCAGATCTAATGGAAATTGGTATAGCGTAACTGGGCTGTCCTACTACACAGAATATGTTCCCAATTGGACCTATTGAATCAGAAATCGATGAAGAGCGTCTGGAATTGGCCGATTGAAAGGGCGTCGTCATCCAACGCTAGACCTCACTTTTCTCTGCAGACTTGGTAGAAATTGATATAACTCAACTGGGTGGTCCTATAACACATGCTATTGTATATTAAGTGGACCTTTGTTCCTAAATGGAGCTATCGATGATAAACCTCTGGAATTAGCCAATCTGGAGGGTGCCGTCTTCCACCAGTACAACGCTAGACCTCACGTCTCTCTGCAGACCTGACAGAAATTGGTATAACTTAACTGGGCCGTCCTACTACACATGGCATAATCACCTGACCTTGCAACTTGGGATTACCACTTATTTTGATCCCTGCAAAATTCTCTTAATGAAATGAACTTGAAGACTCTGGGAGTTTGTAAAAAACACTTAGACGAGTACATCACTCAGAAACATGCCAATTTCTGGGAGGATGAAATCATGAAGACGCCAAAAAGATGGCGAAAAGTAGTTGAACAAAATGGCACATATGTGATCGAAAAATATCTACAAATATCTAAATATTATCTTTGAAATTTACTTAAAAATACTATGAACTTTTGTACCGACCCAATATATTAAATTCGAATTGATTTTAATGCTGTTCAAACCTGTAAAACGTTTAATTTTTTTTCTTTTAATATTTCTTTCATATAAGATTTTGCAGTGTTTGAAAAGCCCTTCTTCATTTTAGAGGGATTTTTTTATTTTGTCTTCCTCATAAGATTTGTACATGGTGTCTGTAAAGATCTTGTTCAATTTAGAGCTTTGATAATTTACTGTCTACATAAGATCTATATATCGTATCTTTTTTTTACAGTGACGTTCACCCTCGAGAGCCACTCGAGGTAGAGGATTACAGAGTAAGAAGCACAGTTTATGGGGATATATGAGAAAGATAATGGTTGACCCTAATGGTTTGTTTTTACAATGATATTCAGTCTGTACAAGGCCCAAGAACCACTCAAGGTAGAGTAAGAAGCACAGTTTTCGTGGATATGTGAGGTTAGTCCTAGATTTGAACATATTGTAGTGACCGGGGGAAGCATCCTCTTGGAAGTCAGTTCCACAAAGCAATAGTTCATGGGAAGAACCTGCTCGAATGGAACTTACATCTCACCACTGAAATACGATGGGAATGAGGGTGGTTCGCTACAGTGGGCGTGGCATGGTGGTACTTACCTATAAGGATTAGAAATGGAGTAAGTAAGAAATATAGTTCGACTGGATATTTACCGTGGAAATAGCGATAGAGCAGCGAGAGTCTTGCGATGTTTCTTCTATGGGAAAGTGGTTGTAGTGTGGAAAATAATTTATCACCCACAAGGACGCAGAGGCGCTTTTGGACTCTATCGAAACTGGGAAATGAAGACTGGTTAGCTCCTAGCCCTATATAGCAGCAGTAATTCATTTTCAGTCTGATCTGGCTCTTGTAAGGATATAGCAGGAGGAGTCAAGTACTTACTGGAACGGTACAAAACAAAAACATTAACCAAAAACTTGAGCCATGTTCTTAAATAATTTCCCCTAACACCACAAATTACTACAAAACCAAAACATTAACCTGAAATATGTAGTAATATTCTTAAATAGCCTCGCCAGATGGAGATTTTTATATGGATGTCATACATGTCACCAAATTCGTTCACAAATATCTAAACTGTCACACATATATATATATATGTGTGTGTGTGTGTGTGTGTGTGTGTGTGTGTGTGTGTGTGTGAACTTCATATATATATATATATATATGTGATATATATCACCACTTTCTCAGATCAATAGTCGTCTTGGGTATGACGATAAACTTCATTATCATTAAAGGTCTTTAATGGGGATATTAGAGGTTTCCAGGAGCGTGGAACCACATCTTAATTGCTGTGGTTCCTAGGTTCACTCTGACCCGGAGTGGTAGCACCTTTTAGGATCCCAGCTATGGACAAAGAGTGCTCCCCAACA